TATATATATACACATATATAAAATATTAATAAACATATTTTTGTGTTATAAAATTAATATATAATATTATTTAGCAATATCATATAACATATAGAAATTTTAAATGATACAAGTACAGAGACTTTTAACAGTTATTTCATATCGTCAAGCGACGCGGGGTTTGACAGGAATAACAAAGTGGAGTGTTTCAATGTTCTCTACATACCGGATCGCGAAGAATGCAATTATCCTAGGCTTAATTTGAAGATGCTCAATTCGTTGATAACTCACGGCACTCGGCATGCCAGCTCCCAGCTCACCTCAGACTGACTGCATGGAGCCCTGAGACTGTGTCGCGAGGGCTCTCGTTTGCTTTCACTTGGCGAGTACCGCAAACGATACCTCCTCGTGGATCGCCGATCGCTGATAAAAACACTTCAACGATTCGATTCGGCTTAACACCGCGCTGAGTGCTCGGAATGCTTCGCGTAGAATTTAGATATTTAATATTATTCTATTACACTATGATCAATATTATGTATATGTATTCTACATAATATTTATATAAATATCTCATAATATATTTAATATTTTCTGAATTTCTCACTTTTATCGATAGATTTAGATTGATAATTTTCAGTCATCCCATGTATAAATATCTCGAAATTAGACATTAATATTTCTATATATAAATATATGTAAATATATTTCTATATGTAATAATATGTGAATATATAATGTTAATCATGTAGATTATTTGATTACAATAAAATAATCTGCGTAATTAATTTTAGATAGTATATTTTACGCAATTCTTGTATTATTATTGAAGTGCTACACTATTAATGTATATTGTGATAATCAACAATTATTATAATATATTATTACAATATAAATACACAAATAATTTTTTATATATACTTATATCAATTAAAAAATCGATAATTATTTTTATTAAAAAAATCATTTATTTTTTATAAAATATTTTACATAATGATCCACACTATATTTTAATGCAACATATATACATAGCTTATTAATAAAGAAATTATATATACATATATCAATATGTGTCTGCAGTCTTAACGTAATAAAAAATTTATATATAAATAACTTAGGATCGTTGTAAAACAAGAAAAGATAAATATGATGTAATTATATTAAAAATTTGAAAGATAAATATAATGTATGTAAATAATTTAAAAATCTTTTAGTACGAATCCTCGTCTTCTTCTTCGATGGGAATGTCTTCTCGATGCTGTTTCGGATTCCATCTACGCCAAAGTAATTCTCTCACTGTGAATTCGGAAAGTATTTCGGGACTAGTCATGTTGATATCTCGAGATACTGACGACGGCCATAAAACTTGAGCGAAAAGTATTTCCTGTTATTCGCACAACATAAAATAAATTAAAAATTTCGCAGAAAATTAGAAATAACTTTCTCTAAATCCATCACATATATAATAGATATATATATGTAATAGATAAATTCACATTTACCTTAGCAGCAGTTTCGGATAGTCTTTCAAATCCAAACAAATTATTCCACGTTATGGATCGCGAGGACATAGTAGAATCTATAACTAAAGAGTCTGCATCTGCTACTTCTATCATAACGATATAAGAAGCGTGATAAAATGGTGGTCCCTCCTTATAAAGCACTGAAACAAAAGTATTTCGAATAAAATAATGATAACATAAAAAGAGGAAAAAAATTTTCAATATTACGAAAAAAAAAAATTAAAGAGAAAAAGAATTTTTTAAATAACAAATACAATATAAAAACAATTATAAATAATATAAAAGCGTTTTTATAATACATTTTCAAAGAACAATTAAAAAAGTACTAACAGAAATCACCACCATATTTTAAGCCAGGCTTGACAACCCAACCTTTGCTCCTATAATAATGATAAACTACATATTTCTGTATAAAATCTGGTTTCTCTTTGCAAAAGTACAACCATGCGCTGTTGATGTCTAGCAGACTACCGTCGAAGTGAATCAGTTGCAAGCAACCTAATCCAAAAAGGAGAAAAAAGGTCTCTTCGAAGGTGAGATGTAGAGCTTCTCGAATAGGAAAACCTTCGTTCTCGATTCTTGGTTTAATATTTTTTAAATAATTCTCAGTGTCTGAGTCGCTATCTGGCAACACTAATAATTTTCCATGTTGATTGTCATCCTCGTTCATGCAATCGTTTTTAAAATCGTTATACAATTTCCAGTGATCTTCCTCCTCCAATCTGTCTTCTAAGTTGTTCTTATCATGAGTGCTTGATGAGCTTTCAGCATTATCACATTGAATCGAGTCTCTATTAACAATGACACATATGTCATCCTCTTCTGCAGAATCTAGAGTAACTTCATCGATCTCTGTGTTTTTTGTGTCTACCTCATTTCTCTGCTTGCTTCCGTTTTCAATAGAATTTGATGGAATTTCAATGATGTCGCCAATATTCTCTTCATCTGGGATATTTCTTTCCTCGTATTGAGCAATTGCTTTATCATCTGCAATTATGTAATAAATTTCCACTATATTTTAATATTACCTTATATTTTATTACTTTATAGATATTATTTTATAAGGTGTTATTTTCATTCATATAATGAATGAAATATAATGAATTCATACAATTTGAAACAAGATATATTGTATAAGTTAAAATATTTTTTATTACATACCTTTGTATTCAGTAGAATTTAATTCTTGGACTTCTTTAAGCCATTTTTGTCTGCAAAGCCACTGTCTGTTCCGAACAACTGGCGGTGCTCCGTATCTTGCTTTGCCAAATGATGGATAACTACGGGATAACGATCCTTTACCAAAAAATCCCTATAAACACAAATATTAGTTCTTCATTCGTTGTTCATAGGAAAAATTACTCTAATAAAATTTAACTTTTAACCATAGAATGTACTGCTGTCATCTCTTCAGGTTCAATTATACAAGATCCTATATCTGTGAGATGTGCAGTATACATTGGCCATTCTTGTGTTTCATTTAATAGAATGGGAAATGGCAATTGTGGTTTTAATTTTGTTCTTTTTCTTTTTGGTTCTCGAAGATCCATGTTTTAACTATAAAGAGATAATAACATTTTGGAAAAGCATTAGTTATATCATTCAAATATTTTGTAAGATCTGTATCTGCTGAAAAGAGTTATAAATTTTTGTATTGCATTATTAATTATTAACAAAAATAAATAAATAAACTACCTAACAACTCGCAACTAATGGAATATAAAATAAAACCAATAATAAATTTCATATGAAAAGTTCAAAAATTAAATTAAGACTGTAACTCAGAGCTTAATCTTTAGTTAAAATATAAATCAATTTCAATGATAAATAATGAATAATTCTTTTAAGTAAGAGATGTGATTTTTCTTTCTTCATGAAGATATAACAATTAATTTTATATAAAAGTTATAATGATTAATTTTTCATATAAAAGATATAACAATAACCTATATGAAAATAAAAATTGATTTCTTTATACAAAAATTATATTATGCAGAATTTGAAATATATTTTAAATGTAATATAAAACAAGAAAAATATATTTTTATGTTTATTATATTTTCATGTTATACTATTCATTACTGATTATTGAAAGAAAAGACTTACCCTTTCGAATAATAGATGCCTTCAGATTGAAAGTAAAGTTTAGAGGTTAAGTTAAGAGTAAAACACGTGCCGACATCTAAAGTTTGTTTTTTATTGCTGCATTAGACCAACTAAAATTTTTTTTTT